ATTTGGAGGAAGATTTTAGCTACAGGTAGTTTTCTATATTTTTATCAGAACTTTGAAAATTTATTTTTAAGAATTTTTTTATACCAACATAGTAAAACTTATGGTATCAGCAGATTTAGTATTAAATTTATGACAAACGAATAAATTTTGAAAGCTCTTATTCTATAAATATTGGTTTTACGAAGAAAAACATAACAGATACGTGTTTGTTTTGAGCTCTAAATTGTCTTCTCAACTTAAATTATTTCAAAAGCTTAAAGGCCCATAATTCTATAAATAATCATTTGAGTTGAGTATAATTTGATATTTTTACTTATTTCTATATTTACTTAATAGTTAAAAAATTTCTTTTTGATTTCAGGGGGTTTGGTTACGGGCCCTAGGTGGTTTGGCATGGATTGACCCTTAAGCAAATTTAAATATTTTTTCCCCAATTATACATACAAATATTTTTCACAATGAAACCTAAGATAATTTACAAAATATTATTAAAATATAATTAAATTGAATGAAGGAATATATATAATAGATAAATAAAAATAAGTAAATAAATTATAGTTTAAAATAAATAAATAAAATAATGAAAACACATTTAAAAAGAATATTAGTTAATAAATAAGTAAATATATATTTTTTTTATTATTTCTTAATGATATTTACAACTGTATTAAATAAATACATCTAGTAAATTTTAACATATCGATATAATGCCATGAAAACACTTGCTGAGTAACTACCAAATGGAAGCACTCTAATGATATGTCTACATTAGGAGATCACGGGGCCATCTTCTTTTCAGACGCCTCGGAGGGTTGTCAGGAATTGAAGAAGAAGCAAGGTTAGAAACGAGAGGGTTGGGATGATTCTGAAGTTTATTATGGAAGGATAGGTATCTGAATTGGGCCAGGTCTGAAACAAAAGAAACATTAAGCTCCTTATGGACGGTTTTATTTGTAACAAAGTAGGGAGCATTGAGGATTTTACGAAGGATTTTGATTGCAAGGATTGGATACGAGAGGATTTCAATGGTTTAGTGGAGCCCCATAGCTCAACTCCGTAAGTCCAAATAGGCCTTATTATAGTCATGTCAATGAGTCTTTTGTAATTAATTGGAAGTTTAGAGCGTTTGTCTAGTAAGTGCTGAATTAATCGGAAACGTCGAGCAGATTCTTCCGTTCCAGTCTTGTATGAGGATTCCAAGTTAGTCCTTTGTCCAGGTGGATTCCTAGGTATGGGATTTGCTCAACAGGGATAAGTGGAGTATTGTTAAAGAAAACTGTAGGAAAGGAAGTCATTGGTTTACGACGAAGGGTAAAGGTAATTTGGTTGGATTTATTGGAGTTTATTTTAATTCTCCAGTTTTGACACCATTCTTCAAGATTTATGATGTGTGATTGAAGCATTTGGGATGCAATTGATGGATTATTATTTACTGATAGGATACATGTGTCATCGGCATATGTGGTGATGACAGTGTTGGGATAGGTAGGGATGTCAGCTGTATAAACTGTATAGAGGATAGGACCTAAGATACTACATTGAGGAACACCAATGCACTGGGATGTAAATAAATAAAAAGTAAAAATAAATAAATAAAATGTATTTAAGGGGAAAAGAAGAAACTGTGTAATAAAAATTAATATTACAATTCTTTTATAAAATTTTCACTTGTCAGAAATGATATAAATTTGTCAGATCTATTACTGTTATTTCCCAAGGCTATTGAAATGTTTTGTGATATCCCTATATCGTTTAGTTTACAACTAAAAAATGGGCAATGTTGGAAAATGTGAGCAATGGATAGGATACTATTGCATTGCTGGCGTCTAGGAGGGGCAACTTTAGTGATGAGGTGAGAGGGGTTCAATCTCGAATGTCTCACCCTAAGCCAGTTAAGGAGTAGCAACTCTCTGCAAATGTTGCTACTAGAGGAAATCCAAGGTCTAACATCTTACTTTATAAATTTGCACCACTTATCCCATACGTCATGACATTCCTTTCAGACATTCTCTTTTAGCAGATGTGAGACATCCGATGGTATAAGTAGGGTCCTACCATGACATGGGAGTGAGAGTGCCCCTTTTACTGCTTTATCAGCCATTTCATTCCTTTTTATATTGACAGGTCCAGGTACCCATATGTAATTAACTGATTTTCCATTATGATTTATAAATTTTCCTATTTCTAGAATCCATTGAATTCCTGGGTGATTTGAATACATATTTGTTAATCCCGTTAGAGCACTCAAGGAATCTCAAGTAATTACTGCATTCCTGTCAGGAACACCCTATCCCGAATCGTTAAAGAAACAACAAAGGAAGTTGTAGGGATAGAGGAACGAGCAGTTAGGTCCCACGGGGACCTATGATTTGATGCGGAGTGTGCAGTTGCTACGAATTTAAGGAATAAAGCTTACAAAAACATGGTTCAGAAGTGGCACATGAGAAGGGCCAAACAGGAATATAGAGACAGAAGGACAGAAGAGAAGAGACTACACAGACGAAAGAAAAGAGAATGGGGAAGGTGACAGCTAGAGGAGATGGAGGAGCAAAGGAGGCAGAGTAAATCAAGGGAATTTTACAAGGCGGTGAATGTGAGTATGACATTATTCAAACCAAGGGTCCGATTATGTTGAAATGAAGATAGCCTCATGATCACAGAGAAGGAGCAGATTTTGGCCCGATGGTCCCATCACTTTAATAGACTTCTGAATGAGAGTGAAGATGGTCCACACAATTTCATAATTCCAAGTACTGGGTACAACCTGGACTCCACAGACCCACCGACTTGTGAGGATGTTCTTGAAGCAGTTAACAGGTTGAACAACAACAAAGTCGCAGGAGAGGATGGAATTCCTTCTGAGCTTATTAAGCATGGTGGCAAGGAATTTCAAAGAGCCCTCACTATCATCCTAACCATCTGGATTGAAGAGAAAATGCCAGATCAGTGGAAGAAGGGAATAATTTATCCACTACACAAGAAGGGTAATATCTTCGACTGCCCCAATTACAGTGGGATCTCACTTTTTCAGTGTGCATATAAGATTCTCCTCCCGTTTCCTGAGAGAGAAATTGGTAAGTACCAGGCGGGGTTAAGAGGAGGAAAATCTACAGTTGACCAGATGTTTAGCCTCCGTATGATACTAGAAAAGTCTCAAGAGTACAGTATGATAACCCATCGACTGTTTATTGACTTCCGGAGTGCATATGACAGCATCAAGAGACCTCAACTGTATGCAACTCTGTGTGACCTTGGAGTTCCTCCGAAACTTGTCCGCCTCATCAAGATAACTATGCTAGGTGCACTGTTCGGGTACAATCGGACCTATCACCGGAATTTGTTTCCAAGTGAGGAATTAGGCAGAGGGATATGCTTGCTTGCCTATTGTTTAACTTGGCAATGGAGAAGGTGATACGTGACTCGGAGATTTGACTACCGACACTATCTTTAACAGATTAACTCAAATACTGGGATTTGCTGACAATCTAGATCTGATGGCACGTTCCTTCGAGTCTCATAAGAGTGCATTTTTAAGGTTGGCTGAAGTAGCAGAAGCTTTGAAAATGAGTGTAAACCAGGAAAAGACAATGTATATGCGAGCAGGACCTGGAACCGAGACCGCAGCACGAGTACCGGTGGGCCCGTTTATGTTCCACAATGTAGATCAGTTTACCTATCTGGGAACTACTATCCAACATGCGGTTTTAGAGATATAGATGCATCAAGGAAAACACGTGCGGATATATACAAGAAATTAGTGGACATAATTCAATAAAATTGACATTATGTTATTTTTTCACCATACGTCATTTTTCTACCTTTTATCTAACATTGAGCCAAATCGAATGAGGCCTATCCGCATAATCCCTAAAATTTTCATAAAAATTGGATGAACAGTACTAGGTGGTATGCCCGTCACATCGATTTGACTACGGACAGACAGACAGACACCGAACCATATTTGATCCTTGATGTCTGAAACGTTAAACGCGAGTGGAAATTTTCGATTCTGAGCACACATTTTATTTTAACCTCTCGCCTGAACACAATGCTTTCCTACCTTCGGTAGTGATGAAGTAATATACAATGTTCTGGACGACTGAGATTTTTATCAGACAGGTACAATTTAACGGTAGGTATATTCACAAACCCTTCATAGATATCCGACAGCAAACAAAGCAACAATACCGGTCCTGCAGTAACTAAAGCACCTGCAATATAAGTATGAGTCAGACAGTCAGATGTGAATCAGAAAATATCCATATTTATTAACTACAAAGTTTGTTGGATTCTTGTTTATTACAACTTATTATGAACAATTTTTCAAGCCAGTCTAATCGACATAAACTGAGAAATCAACAAATAATGAGTGAGTAATATCTTACTTTTTGAACATAAACATGCCCATTGAAAGATAGACCGTAAAAAATGGAATAATAATTAAACTCTCCATCTCAAGATATATCGTTTTTTGCCTTATAAATTCATCGATTAAGTAACTTTTCTTTATCAATTTTCTATTCTATTCTATTTATTTGCAATTTATCAGATGTAGGTTGATTAGAATAAAACAACAACAAAAATATATACATACTCATAAGGTCATTTATTGATACTTTTATGAATTAAAAATTGTAGGTTAAAAATTTTGAACCCTGATGTAAAGACTATACATTATTTTATTACTTAACATACAACATATAATCATAAAATCATTTATTGACACTACTATGGTTTCATTTAACAATAATATGAAAATTGTAGGTACAAAACACTAAAAGTCACTATGAAGAAAATATATTTTTTTAATTATTCAACATACAACATATAATCATATAGTCATTTATTAATATTATGATTACATAAAAAGTAATATGTAAACAGTAGGTAACAATTTAATCTATACAATAACTTTCTATTAATAAACATGCAACATATAAATACATAAATATATCTAAACACTATACAGTTCAATTTTTGCTAAAATTATTCAATAGAGATTGGTATAAAGAGAAGAACGTTCTCAGAAGATAAAATCTATCTTAAAATTACAAGATTTTTTTTTTATATTTGGAAGTAAAACATTCGTAATATAAAAGGCACTGGGATAAGTAGCATTTCTCTATTCTCAAAGACTTGAAATGAAAATGCCATGCTCTGAATTCTTCACACGAGATCATCAAGGCATCCAACATCTCCTTCAACTTAAGGAAAATAAAGCATTCGTAATATAAGAAACACTAACTGGGGTAGCCTTGCTCTTTTCTCAAAGACGACCGGAGTTAGTATTACTTAGATTACGTTCTCTGAAAATAAGTACCCCGTTGTCTGAATTCTTCACCCGTGATCACCAAGGCATCCAAAATCTCTTTCAACTTATCATTTAGTTGAATATGAAAATCTACATACTGATTTTTGTTGGGCGGTTGTGGATCATCTAGCGGCTCGGGAGTGATCGGTTCACACTGCAACATTTTATTTCCAATAATTAGAGAAATGATAAAATAAAAAACTAATTACTCAGATCATGTAATTGATAGGTATTTACCAGTGGCTGGTAGGGTTCTCTTTTTTGCGGAGTAGCAGCATACAAGTTCCTACCATGTTTTCTTTTTGATTTGCTATTAAATTGTCCGAGACTTAGTGATACGTCGGCAGTATAAATCTGTAAGAATTTTGGGAGGTTAATGTAATTGAAATCGCATAAGAGGAATTAATTCATAACAATATATCTTTCAATTGAAACGCATTTAGTATGAGTTTTTAAATAATTTATTTAATAAATTTATATTTATTTAATTTTTATTTTTATTTAATCTAATTTATTTAAACATAATTTAAATTAATATTACTCACCTTTAAATTTGACCTCAGTAACCGGGTAACCGGTTTTTTCGAGTTTGACCGGGATCTAGTTAATCCTTTTCTGCCCTGTAATCAAATTAATGTTAAACATAGCAATTATTGTGATCATTATTCATCAGGAATGTTTGATAAAAAAATTTGGAATTTTGTAAATACCTCATTTAAGCGGTCCATTCTTTTCGGATCTGTGGTATTAATGATGATCGAAGCTACGATTCAGTGTGTTGAAAACCAGGTGAAACTGACTGATTTTGGAACGGGTAGTAGATAGTGTAAGGTGCCAGAGTGGGAAAAAGAGGCCGTGGTTGAAGGGTAAAGAGACCTCATTTACTGAGCTAGGCTTCGCTAAGCTTTTTAATCTTTTGGGATCCAAATATCTAAGATTTATCAAATCACAATTAGTATTTAACACAAAGATTAGACTAATGATTAGAACGGTTGGGTTGTATGGCATATGAAAGAGAGGTTAAGGGGCGGGGCACAGGGTGAGGAAGGATAAAATACACGGTGGGCCAGACCTCCTTACCGTGAACCTCCCCCCCTTAAAGGCTGTACAAGATTTTTTCCGGATCAGGGGATGAAGGTGGGGAATTAATGCCACAATTAAAAGCACCCCCGGCATCGGGTTATGTTATCTTAAAATTTCTGATATTAAGTTGCCATACGCGCCATACACTTGACCACCTCACCCCTGCTAATCTCTTCACTTAATACGCCAAATGAGAAATGGTACTTCTCAACGATTTCTTCATAATTCATGAAATTCTCCTCTTTTAGTCTGTGGGCCAGACCCCATTACCGTGCACCCCCCCCCCCACATCCCTATAAATTGCATATCGTTGTATTCCTTGCTACAATTTATTAAAAAAAAGCCAATGTTCCCACAAAAAAAAGTGAACGCACTGCCCCAAAATGGCGTCCAAAGATGGCGGATTGACGACTTTGACTTTAGTTAGTTTTTTGGTCACTGAGAATCAGCATTAAGCTTAATTTCCTCATAGTTGGTCTTTTATTAAAGCTGAATAGTTATAGAATAATAAAACATGAAGAAATATTAAAAAATAATTGGCTAAGGCTATGAAAAACACCTATAAAATCAATTTTTTTAACAAAAAAATTTTAAGTTACAAATCAAGCGTCGTTTGTAATTAAACGGCCTACAATAACGCAAAACGTGCTGAAATAAACCATCTGGAGAATATAATTCTCTTTCTGAAACGCTGATTATTTTTTACAAATGTTTAAGTAGTTCCGTAAAAAATGCACTTATGCGGCAGAAAAGCTGTACTGGCGTGAGTGCCTACAGGCCTCTACCACACCATTCAGTGCCCATAAATGGCTTAGTTATAGTGATATAATAACATTTTTGGTACATTATATTGGTTTTATTAACGAACAGATATTAATGCAAAAATTTAAAAGTAAAAAAAAAAAAATTATTATTATTTTTTTAAATTTTAACCTCCTTTATTCTATACGTAGGTCGTTTAAGAATACCTCAATTGTAAAAATGATATAATTATAATAATAAAACTTAATTAAAAAATATTTTGCTAAATATCTTGGTTTTTTTTTTTATTTAACGTTTGCAATTTAACACTGAGTTTGGTATATTTACTGAATCTTAGAGGTAATTAAAATTTTTATATACTTCCCAGGAAATGAGTCATATTAATACCTGTCACATTACAGCTATGAGCTATAACTTTCTCGGTATACATCTCTATATACATCTTCAAAGTTAATATAGTCCCGATGTGCACCTTCAGCAATCGAAAATAAAGTGGTTTTCACCATAATAAACCTACATCGTCCACTTAATATCATCCATACTGCAATTGATCCCGTTTTAGCAGCATCTTTGAATATTCTGTTCATCTATCTACTATACATTCATTTAGCTATATAATGGATATAACTGGTCCTTTTTATCTATTCCGAGGTTTTGGCACTTCCTTTCTCGTTCGCTTAATGTATTTTTCTAATTTTCTCGTTTAAGTTCACGTTTTTCCTCATTTTGAGACCAAATCCAAACAATCAGTTTCGGTTTATAGAAGAACTTATAGGGTCACCCTTTATATCTTTCTTTGTGCATAGAGAATAATTCATTCAATATTAAAATTTCCTATTTATTTATGATATAGTCCAACTTCTGCACAAAATAAAGGAAATAAAAATTAATTTTTTAATTAGTGATATATGAGTTTTACTAAACAACCCGGTAGCTATTCATTATATATAGTTCAGATTAGGTATATATTATTTTAGTTTATAAAACAGGTATTAATATGACTCATTTCCTGGGAAGTATATAAAAATTTTAATTACCTCTAAGATTCAGTAAATATACCAAACTCAGTGTTAAATTGCAAACGTTAAATAAAAAAAAAAAACCAAGATATTTAGCAAAATATTTTTTAATTAAGTTTTATTATTATAATTATATCATTTTTACAATTGAGGTATTCTTAAACGACCTACGTATAGAATAAAGGAGGTTAAAATTTAAAAAAATAATAATAATTTTTTTTTTTTACTATTAAATTTTTGCATTAATATCTGTTCGTTAATAAAACCAATATAATGTACCAAAAATGTTATTATATCACTATAACTAAGCCATTTATGGGCACTGAATGGTGTGGTAGAGGCCTGTAGGCACTCACGCCAGTACAGCTTTTCTGCCGCATAAGTGCATTTTTTACGGAACTACTTAAACATTTGTAAAAAATAATCAGCGTTTCAGAAAGAGAATTATATTCTCCAGATGGTTTATTTCAGCACGTTTTGCGTTATTGTAGGCCGTTTAATTACAAACGACGCTTGATTTGTAACTTAAAATTTTTTTGTTAAAAAAATTGATTTTATAGGTGTTTTTCATAGCCTTAGCCAATTATTTTTTAATATTTCTTCATGTTTTATTATTCTATAACTATTCAGCTTTAATAAAAGACCAACTATGAGGAAATTAAGATTAATGCTGATTCTCAGTGACCAAAAAACTAACTAAAGTCAAAGTCGTCAATCCGCCATCTTTGGACGCCATTTTGGGGCAGTGCGTTCACTTTTTTTGTGGGAACATTGGCTTTTTTTTAATAAATTGTAGCAAGGAATACAACGATATGCAATTTATAGGGATGTGGGGGGGGGAGGTGCACGGTAAGGGGGTCTGGCCCACAGACTAAAAGAGGAGAATTTCATGAATTATGAAGAAATCGTTGAGAAGTACCATTTCTCATTTGGCGTATTAAGTGAAGAGATTAGCAGGGGTGAGGTGGTCAAGTGTATGGCGCGTATGGCAACTTAATATCAGAAATTTTAAGATAACATAACCCGATGCCGGGGGTGCTTTTAATTGTGGCATTAATTCCCCACCTTCATCCCCTGATCCGGAAAAAATCTTGTACAGCCTTTAAGGCGAGGAAGGGTAAACAACAATCAAAAGAAAATATTTAAGAGATCAGCCAGGTCTAAATACATAGTCTTAATCTATATCAGGATTCTTTTTCACATGTTAGAAATTTTTCATTGAGAAATTCCCAAACCCTTGCCTATATATTCATTTTAGTATTTTAAGATGTTTGTTGGACTGCTGTACAAACTCCGAAAATTCCTACCACCTACATACTTCCTCATTATCCGTTCCTACCTTACTGATAGATACTTTAAAGTAAATCACAAAAATGCCTATTCATCACTTTTTTCCCAGTCCGCTGGTGTTCCTCAAGGTAGTATCCTAGGTCCTATCCTCTATACAGTTTATACAGCTGACATCCCTACCTATCCCAACACTGTCATCACCACATATGCCGATGACACATGTATCCTATCAGTAAATAATAACCCATCAATTGCATCCCAAATGCTTCAATTACACATCATAAATCTTGAAGAAGGGTGTCAAAACTGGAGAATTAAAATAAACTCCAATATAGCCAACCAAATTAACTTTACCCTTCGTCGTAAACCAATGACTTCCTTTCCTACAGTTTCCTTTAACAATACTCCACTTATCCCTGTTGAGCAAATCCCATACCTAGGACTCCACCTGGACAAAGGACTAACTTAGAATCCTCATACTAGACTGAAACGACAAGAAACTGCTCGACGTTTCCGATTACTTCAGCACTTACTAGACAAACGCTCTAAACTTCCAATTAATTACAAAAGATTCATTGACATGACTATAATAAGACCTATTTAGACTTACGGAGTTGAGCTATAGGGCTCCACTAAATCATTGAATTCCTCTCGTATCCAATCCATGCAATCCAAAATCCTTCGTAAAATCCTCAATGCTCCCTACTTTGTTACAAATAAAACCATCCATAATGACCTTAATGTTTCTTTTGTTTTATACTTGGCCCAATTCAGATACCTATCCTTCCATAATAAACTTCAGAATCATCCCAACCATCTCGGTTAGAAACCTTGCTTCCTCTTCAATTCCTGACAACCCTTCGAGGCGTCTGAAAAGAAGATGGCCCCGTGATCTCCTAATGTAGACATATCATTAGAGTGCTACCATTGGGTAGTTACTCAGCAAGTGTATTCATGTCATTATATCTATTATATCCAAATTTACTAGATGTATTTATGTAATACAGTTGTAAATGTCATTAAGAAAAAAAAAAAAAAAAAAAAAAAAAGATGTTTGTATTTCTTACATTCATACATATAAAGAACAAATAAAGTGCCCATTGATTAATAAATTATAAAGTTTTGAGTAATCTAATGCAAAATATAAAAATACCATGAATAACCTGTAACAAGCTTTTCAGTTATCTATGCTAAACTAATTATAAAAAAGAATTATACCACTACACGAAAAAAATGGCTACTTTTTTCATAAAAAATCTAATTGTTTCTCTCAATTTTGGTCCTTTTCCTTATGTAAATGAATTTTATTTGTGAAAAACAAACATTTAATGTTTTACAAAGCACAGGAAAAACGTATAATTGAAAAATAGCAATAGAATAAAGGAAAATCGTGTATTTCAAATCTAAGCATTTCAAAAAAAAATCTCATCGGTTCGATTTGAAAAGTTGGAGGAAAATTAGAGATTAGTGAAAAATTGGTCCACTATGAATTTCATCGCATTCCCTTCGTATACGAATGCGCAAACATATTTTCTTTGATACGGTTATATTTTATTATTACATATTTTATAACAGAGGGAATGATATTTCTTAAACATGTTGAAATAAGCAATTATAACCAGAGGTTGAAAGTTTTATGTAACTTATTTAAAAAGTTCCATTTTAACAGTTTATGTGAAAACAGTTAGAGAAAAAGCCTTAATATCAATGTAAGGTATTTTTTAAATAAAAAATGTCTAGATGCCTGGTA